TCCTGTTTAGTCCTGGTTTTAGTCCTGGTTTAGTCCTGGTTTAGTCCTGGTTTTAGTCCTGGGTTAGTCCTTGTTTTAGTCCTGGTTTTAGTCCTGGTTTAGTCCTGGTTTAGTCCTGGTTTTAGTCCTGGTTTAGTCCTGGTTTAGTCCTGGTTTTAGTCCTGGTTTTAGTCCTGGTTTAGTCCTGGTTTAGTCCTGGTTTTAGTCCTGGTTTTAGTCCTGGTTTAGTCCTGTTTTAGTCCTGATTTTAGTCCTGGTTTAGTCCTGGTCCTGGTTTAGTCTGGTTTAGTCTGGTTTTCCTGATTTTTAGTCCTGGTTTAGTCCTGGTCCTGGTTTAGTCCTGGTTTTTAGTCCTGGTTTAAGTCCTGGTTTAGTCCTGGTTTAGTCCTGGTTTAGTCCTGGTTTAGTCCTGTTTAGTCCTGAGTTAGTCCTGATTTAGTCCTGGTTTAGCCCAAAATATGAAAACTCTTGTGTAATCCATTTATTTCAGCAAAGTAACTGTAATCCAATTACCACTCACTGAAACAGTAACTGTAACTGAATACAGTTACTCATAATTTGTACTCTGATTACGTAACTCCAGTACTTGTAATCTGTTACTCCCCAACACTGGGCATGAGTCAGGTGTAGGCAGGGACAGACAGGTGCAGACAGGTGCAGATGCTGTGTGTCTGAGCAGATTTCACATTTTATAATTAGAGTGAAACTGGAGCCACAGGAACAAGTCTGACTCACAGTGTGCAGACCAGAATAAACGAGGGATGAAAGAGGAGGAGGAGGAGGAGGAGAGAGGAAGAGGAGGAGGAGGAAGGAGGAGGAGGAGGAAGAGGAGGAGGAGGAGGAGAGAGGAGGAGGAGGAGGAGGAGGAGGAGGAGGAGGAGGAGGAGGAGGAGGAGGAGGAGGAGGAGGAGGAGGAGGAGAGGAGGAAGGAGGAGGAGGAGGAGGAGGAGGAGGAGGAGGAGGAGGAGGAGGAGGAAGAGAGGAGGAGGAGAGAGGAGGAGGAGGAGGAAGAGGAGGAGGAGGAGGAGGAGGAGGAGGAAGGAGGAGGAGGAGAGAGGAGGAGGAGGAAGGAGGAGAGAGGAGGAGAGGAGAGGAGGAGGAGAGGAGGAGGAGAGAGGAGGAGGAAGAGGAGGAGGAGGAAGAGGAGGAGGAAGAGAGGAGGAGGAGGAGGAAGGAGGAGGAGGAGGAGGAGGAGGAGGAGGAGAGGAGGAGGAGGAAGAGAGGAGGAGGAAGAGGAGGAGGAGGAGGAGGAGGAGGAGGAGGAGGAGGAAGGAGGAGGAGGAGGAGGAGGAGGAAGGAGAGGAGGAGGAGGAGGAGAAGAGGAGGAGGAGGAGGAGGAAGAGAGGAGGAGGAGGAGGAGGAGGAGGAGGAGGAGGAGGAGGAGGAGGAGGAGGAGGAGGAGAGGAGGAGGAGGAGGGAGGAGGAGGAAGGAGGAGAGAGGAGGAGGAGGAGGAGGAGGAGGAGGAGGAGGAGGAGAGGAGGAGGAGGAAGAGAGGAGGAGGAGAGAGGGAGGAGAGGAGGAGGAGGAGGAGGAGGAGGAGGGAGAGGAGGAGGAGGAGGAGGAGAGGAGGAGGAGGAGGAGGAGGAAGAGGAGGAGGAGGAGAGGAGGAGGAGGAGGAGGAGAGAGGAGGAGGAGAGGAGAGGAGGAGGAGGAGGAGGAGGAGGAGGAGAGGAGGAGGAGGAGGAGGGAGGAAGAGGAGGAGGAGGAGGAGGAGGAGGAGGAGGAGGGAGGAGGAGGGAGAGGAGGAGAAGGGAGGAGGAGGGAGAGGAGGAAGGAGGAGGAGAGGAGGAGGAGGACGGACGGGAGGAAGAGGAGGACTTTTTTTGTTATTGTTAGAAAAATCACCTTTTCATTTGTGAACTTGGCAGTTTTCGGTGACTCTGCCCATTCTGCTGTTAAAGCTTCAAAACTGTTGTATTTAAGTAAAACAGAGACTTCAAAATAATCTAGTAGTAGTATCTAGTAGGAGTAGTAGTAGTAGTAGTCGTAGCAGAAGTAGTAGCAGTAACAGTATTATTATTATTAGTATTAGTAGTAATAGTAGCTGCTGTAGTAGTAGTAGTAGTAGTAGAAGTAGGTAGTAGTAGTAGTAGTAGTAGTAGTAGTAGTAGTTGTAGTAGTAGAGTAGTAGTAGTAGTAGTAGTAGTAGTAGTAGTAGTAGTAGTAGTAGTAGTAGTAGTAGTAGTAGTAGTAGTAGTAGTAGTAGTAGAGTAGTAGTTGTAGAGTACAGTAGTAGTAGTAGTAGTAGTAGTATAGTAGTAGTAGTAGTAGTAGCTGTAGTAGTAGTTGTAGTAGTAGTAGTAGTAGTAATAGTAGCAGCCGCAGCAGCAGTAGTAATAGCAGCAGTAGTAGTAGTTATTGTAGTAGTAGTAGAAGTACTAGCTGTAGTAGTAGTTGTAGTAGTAGTAGTTATAGTAGTAGTAGTAGTAGTAGTAGTTAGTAGTAGTAGTAGTAGTAGTAGCAGCAGCAGCAGCAGTAGTAGTAGCAGTAGTAGTAGTAGTAGTAGTAGAAGTAGTAGTGTTAGTAGTTGTAAGTAGTAGTAAGTAGTAGTAGTAGTAGTAGAGTAGTAGTAGTAGTAGTAGTAGTAGTAGTTGTAGTAGTAGTAAAGAGTATTAGTAGTAGTAAAAAGTATTTGGGGACTCTACTTTACCTGGTTTTTGTATTAAAGTTTCCAAGCTCTTGTATTTTTGTAAACTGGGACTAAGTCGTGGGCTGAAGTAAATATTTATTGAAAAATTCCAACAACATCTGGACGTTTTCTCTTCTTTCGAGATATGTAAAGTTAAACCTTTTCTTATTAAAATAAAAGTTTAAAAATAGTTTTACTTAAACACTGAATCCAGAACAAGTATAATATTAAATAGTGACAATATTTTTAATAAATAATGTCTCTATAGCCGATCTGTAGTCGGTGGGGCAGCTCTAATACATATTTGATGTGGTCTCCCGGGCCAAATATAATTATATCACGGGCCAAATTTGGACCCCGGGCCTGAATTTGACATGTCTGGTTTAATGAGTTTAAACAAAACAAAACAAAACACAAGTCCAGGTCTGAATGTGATGAGGAAACAACATTAAAACAGATCAGAAAACGTAATATCGGCACTTTAAATAATTGTGACAGATTTCCAACTTTAAAAAAATTAAATTCTAGTTGTTTATACTGCAAAAACAAACTGGTCGAACCTCTGCTCTGTGAAGGTCCAAAACATGAAATCTGCCAGAGTCTGTGCTTCATTTGGAAACTCTTAACCTTAATTAAAACGTGACACTTTTTTCATCAGAACTCAAAACAAAACGAGCAGATAAAGAGGCGGCTTTCACGTGCACGCTTCAGTTTGTCACAGCGTCACAGAAACACCTGTTTGGCCTTCAGCACCAGAGCCTTTTCAGACAGAACCACAGCTGGACCACAACATCCACCGAACCAAATCTACCGAACCAAATCCACCAAACTGAATCCACCAAACCAAATCCACCAAACTGAATCCACCAAACCAAATCTACCAGACTCTGACTGAAATACTAAACCAGATGCACCAGCTCAAGGTTTAGTCCTGGTTTAGTCCTGGTTTAGGCTTGGTTTGGTCCAACCACTGCCAAACTCTGACAAAAATACTAAACAATATTCACTAGCTCAAGGTTTAGTCCTGGTTTAAATCCTGGTTTAGATCTAGTTTAGTCCTGGTGCAGACATAATTTAGTCCTTGTTTAGTCATGTTTCAGTCTGGGATTGGTTCTGGTTTAGACCTAGTTTAGTCCTGGTTTAGACCTAGTTTAGTTCTGGTTTAGTCCTGGATTAGTTTTGGTTCAGACATAGTTTAGTTCTGGTTTAGTCCTTTTCAGTCCAGAATTGGTCCTGGTTTAGAGCTAGTTTAGTCCTGGTTTAATTTTGTTTCAGTCCTGGATTAATTTTGGTTCAGACATAGTTTAGTCCTGGTTGAGTCCTGGTTTAGTTCTGTTTCGGTCCAGAATTGGTCCTGGTTTAGACCTAGTTTAGTCCTGGTTTAGTTTTGTTTCAGTCCGGGATTAGTCCTCGTTCAGACGTAGTTTAGTCCTGGTTTAGTCCAGGTTTAGTCCAGGTTTAGTCCAGGATTAGTCCTGGTTTAGACTTGGTTTAGTCCTGGTTCAGTCTTGGATTAGTTTTGGTTCAGACATAGTTTAGTCCTGGTTTGGTCCTGGTTTAAACCTAGTTTAGTCCTGGTTTAGTTCTGATTCAGTCCGGGATTAGTCCCCGTTCAGACATAGTTTACTCCTGGTTTAGTCCTGGTTCAGACCCAGTTTAGCAGAGTTTAGTCGAAACTAAAACTGCATTACAGTAAGGTGAGTATCTGTCCCGTCCCCTTGTTATGAAGTTATCTGATTACTGCAGTTATCTGACTACTGCAGTTATCTGATTACCGCAGTTATCTGACTACTGCAGTTATCTGACTACTGCAGTTATCTGACTACCGCAGTTATCTGACTACTGCAGTTATCTGACTACTGCAGTTATCTGATTACCGCAGTTATCTGATTACCGCAGTTATCTGACTACTGCAGTTATCTGATTACCGCAGTTATCTGACTACCGCAGTTATCTGACTACTGCAGTTATCTGATTACCGCAGTTATCTGACTACTGCAGTTATCTGATTACCGCAGTTATCTGACTACTGCAGTTATCTGACTACTGCAGTTATCTGACTACCGCAGTTATCTGACTACTGCAGTTATCTGATTACCACAGTTATCTGACTACCGCAGTTATCTGACTACTGCAGTTATCTGACTACCGCAGTTATCTGACTACTGCAGTTATCTGACTACTGCAGTTATCTGACTACTGCAGTTATCTGACTACTGCAGTTATCTGATTACCGCAGTTATCTGACTACTGCAGTTATCTGACTACTGCAGTTATCTGATTAGCGCAGTTATCTGACTACTGCAGTTATCTGACTACTGCAGTTATCTGATTAGCGCAGTGATCTGACTCCCCCTCCCGTGTGTGTACCTAGCATCTTGTAGGCTCGTTTGGAGGAGTACTGGCGTCTCATCTGCAGCGGGAACACGATGCCCTGGTAGCGCTCGATGGCGATGCAGGTCATGGTGAGGATGCCCGTCACGATGGCCGTGGTCTGGACGAAGGGCACGGTCTTACACACCAGCACGCCTGCCGACACAACACACACATGTACAGGTAAAATACACAAACAAAAACATATGATTTAATCCAATTATTATTCACAGTGTAGTTTAAAGGTTTGACATTACGCAGAATTGACTCTTGAGAGATTTAAACCATGTTCAAATGTTGTTTCATCGTCAAAAACAAAACTGGAGTTGTGTTTTTTTCTTCTGTCTAAATCCGTGTATCATTCGTTCATTCATTCTTCAAAATAAAACCAAAAATAAAAAATGAAAAAAAAAACAACAACTATTTTCTTCATTATTTGTCTCCAAAACCAAAATGAAAAAAAACAGATGATTTGTTTTTTCAGTTTTTGATTTTGTGTTTAAATGAATAATGGAAAAAACGGATAACAAACTGTTTTCGTGGCCTTAAACTGCGATGCCGGACTGAACCAGGACTGAACCAGGACTGAACCAGGACTGAACCAGGACTGAACCAGGACTGAACCAGGACTGAACCAGGACTGAACCAGGACTGAATTTACTTACGTAAATAATGGACCAATCAACATTTGCTGCAGACTCTGTGTTTGAGTCCTAGTTTAGACCTGGTGTAGTCCTGGATTAGTCCAGGTTCAAGCCTAGTTTAGTCCTGGATTAGTCCTGTTTAAGGCCTAGTTTAGTCCTGGTTTAGTCCTAGTTCAGGCTTAGTTTAGTCCTGGATTAGTCCTAGTTCAGTCCTGGATTAGTCCTGTTTAAGGCCTAGTTTAGTCCTGGTTCAGACCTAGTTTAGTCCTGGATTAGTCCTAGTTCAGACCTAGTTTAGTCCTGGTTTAGTCCTAGTTCTGACCTAGTTTAGTCCTGGATTAGTCCTAGGTCAGACCTAGTTTAGTCCTGGATTAGTCCTGTTTAAGGCCTAGTTTAGTCCTGGATAAATCCTATTTAAAGCCTAGTTTAGTCCTGGATTAGTCCTAGTTCAGGCTTAGTTTAGTCCTGGTTTAGTTCTGGTTTAGTCCTGGTTTAGTTCTGGTTTAGTCCTGGTTTAGTCCTGGTTCAGGCCTAGTTTACTCCTGGATAATTCCAGGTTCAGACTCAGTTCAGTCCTGGATTAGTCCTAGTTCAGACCTAGTTTAGTCCTGGTTTAGTCCTGGTTCAGACTTGTTTAGTTTCTTTTTCTATTGGATGTTAGTGCACGTGATTCCAGCTGCAGGTTCTGTGTTTGAGAAATGAATTATGAATAGTTAAATCCTCCAGTCTGAAATAATTCCGATTTTTTTTGTTTTTGAAAAATGTGTAAAATGAAAATCTGGTGTCAGCTCCTTTACTTATTATTTAAGTTTTTAATATTTTTGGAACCAGAATCTAAAGATCTTTGAAAAACTCTACATTAAAGGTCCTGTATTATGCAAAAATTGACTCAAAAATTGAAGTTTAAGTCATGTTTTTACCTCCTCAAAAAGAAACCTGGACTTGTGTTTGTTTCATTCACACATAAATCGTGTAAAATGGACCTGTGGTATTTTCATCACACACACTTTTTCATTTTCAGTTTTTATTAGAGTCTTGTGGTTCAGCCTGGGACCTGGAGACCCGTCTCTCCTTCTCTCTCTCCTTCTCTTTCTTTCTCTTTCTTTCTCTCTGCTCTGGTTTTGTTGCCGTATAAATAAGTTTGATGGGAGGATGGAATGAGCAGAGAGAGGAGAGAGAGTCACCTTGAATCAGCCCGAAAACAAGGTGAAAATAACACGAGAGAAAGTAACAGAGAGAGAGAGAGAAAAGGAGGGAGAGGGAGGAGGGAAAAAAGAGAGAAAGAGTGAGGGAAAATGGTGTTAGTTCCTTTAGATAGAGAGAAAGAGAGAGAGAGAAAGAGAGGGGTGGGGGGGTGGAGGAAGAGAGAAAGAAAGACAGAAGGGCAGAGAGAAAGAGAAGAAGAGAAAGAGGGAGAGAAAGGGGTGGGGGTGGAGGAGGAGCAAAAGAAAAAGAGAGGCAGAGAGAGAGAGAAGAGAGAAAGAGACAGAGAGATGAGTGGAGGATGGAGGAGAGAGAAAAGAGAGAGAGCGGACAGAAAGAGACAGAGAGGAAGAGAGGAAGAGAGAGATGGGCGGAGGGGGGAAGAAGAGGGAAAGTGAAAGAGTGAAACAGTCTTTTTTATTACTCTCCCTTGTATTTTCTCTCATTTTTTTCGGTTTTCTATTAGTTTGTTGTGTTTTTGTGAAAATCTCTGGAGCCGATTCTGTTCACACATAAACAAGTGAGACTCTGAACGACCACAGAAAGAGACGAGGGAGAGAGAGAGAGAGAGAGAGAGGGGGGGGGGGGGGGAGGGGGGGGAGAAAGAGGGGAGAGAGAGAGAGAGAGGGAGGGGGAGAGAGAGAGAGGAGAGACAGAGAGAGAGGGGGGAGAGAGAGAGAGAGAAAGAGAGAGAGAGAAAAGAGAGGGAGGGGAGAGGGGAAAGAGCAGGAGGGAGAGAGAGAGAGAGGGAGAGAAGGGAGAGAGAAAGAGAGGGAGGGGAGCAGGAGAGAGAGAGAGGAGAGAGAGAGAGAGAGAGAGAGAGAGAGAGAGAGAGGGAGGGGAAGAGGGGAAGAGCAGGAGGGAGAGAGAGAGAAAGAGAGGGAGGGAAGAGAGGGGAAAGAGAGGAGGGAAGAGAGAAGAGAGAGGGGAAAGAGAGGGAGGGAGAGAAAGAGAGAGAGAAAGAGAGAGAGAAAAAGAGGGAGGGGAGAAAGAGAGGGAGGGGAGAGAGAAAGAGAGAAGGGAAAGAGGGAGGGGAGAGAGAGAGAGAGAGGGAGGGGGAGAGAGAGAGACGGAGAGAGAGAGAGGGAGGGGGAGAGAGAGAGAGAAGAGAGGGAGGGGAGAGAGAGAGAGAGAAGAGAGAGGGAGGGGAGAGAGGAGAGAGAGAGTAGAGAGAGGGGAGAGAGGGAGAGAGAGAGAGAGAGAGAGAGAGGGGGGAGAGAGAAAGGAGAGACAGAGAGAGAGGGGGGAGAGAGAGAGAGAGGGGGAGAGAAAGCGAGGGAGGGGAGAGAGAGAGAAAGAGAGGGAGAGGAGAGAGAGAGAGAGAGAGAAGAGAGGGAGAGAAAGAGAGGGAGGGGAGAGGGGAAAGAGCAGGAGGGAGAGAGAGAGAGAGGGAGAGAAAGGAGAGAGAAAGAGAGGAGGGGAGCAAGAGAGGGAGGGGGAGAGAGAGAGAGAGAGAGAGAAGAAGAGGGAGGGGAGAGGGAAAGAGCAGGAGGGAGAGAGAGAGAAGAGAGGGAGGGAAGAGAGGGGAAAAGAGAGTGAGGGAGAGAGGAAGAGAGAGGGGAAAGAGAGGGGGAGAGAGAAAGAGAGAGAGAAAGAGAGAGAAAAAGAGGGAGGGGAGAAAGAAGAGGGAGGGGGAGAGAGAAGAGAGAAGGGAGAGGGAGGGGAGAGACAGAGAAAAGAGAGGGAGGGAGAGAGAAAGAGACGGGAGAGAAAGAGAGGAGGGGGAGAGAGAGAGAGAGAAAGAGAGGGAGGGGGAGAGAGAGAGAAAAGAGAGGAGGGGAGAGAGGAAGAGAGAGTAAGAGGGGGAAAGAGAGGGGAGAGAGTAAGATAGAGAGAAGGGGTGAGGGGGACAGAGAGAGGGGGGAGAGTAAGAGAGGGAGAGAGAGATGAAGAGAGACAGAGAGAAAGGGGGAGGTGGGGGTGAAGGGAGGGAGAGAGGCAAAGAGTAAGAGAGAGAGAAAAAGAAAGAAGGAGGGAGAGAGAGAAAGAAAGAAAGAGACAAAGTGAAAGAGAAATAGGGAGGTGGGGTGGAGGGAGAGAGAGAAAGACAGAGGAAGAGAGCGAGAGAAATGGAGAAAACTGCTGAAACTTCTTGTTGCCGCCGACACTAATCCGGATTATCCCAGTAAACATTTTTTAAAACAGACAGATCGCAAAAACGAAGCAACAATTAACCACAGAAGTTACATATTTAACCCTCTACAAGTTTTTATTTAAAATTATTATTATTTTTATTACAGAAATCTCCGCATTATTGCAAAGAAAATGTAAACACAAAATAAACCCTGAGCCCAAATTTCCAGTATTTTGTTCCAGCTTTCATACACTGAACGTTTATTTATTAATTTATTTTAATATTTTAATTTTTTATTCGCTCTGAAACACGTAGCTTATAAAAACATGTGTCTTAACTTTTAAAAAAACTCTTTGAAATTGTGATTTTTGATTTGATTTTGATAAATTTTGCTCTTAAATTAAAAAACACAAACTATAGACTATGATCAGTAACCGATGAATCCAACTAATACTGCAAAAATCTAAATATTTTTCACCAAAATATGAGAAATGTATTTAGTTTTACATCATATTTACAGTCTTTCGGTTACGTAAATGTTAATGATCGTGCCGCCTGCTCGTCCTCTGGCCTCTTTCTGCCGTTAGTCATGCTTCTCCGGCGCTTTGATGCTCGCGCCCGGTGGTGAGGAGGATTAGGAGGTTCGCCACGGCGGCCCCGGGTTTTAGCGACGCCGATCGGATCGCCGTCTCCATGGAAACGGCTAACAGGTCGCTTAACCGGGGAGCTAAACGGGTTAAGCCCCCGATGAACGCGAACGACGACGGCGCGAACCGATTATTGATGAGACGATGAAAGAAAACATGATGCGGCGAAGGAGGAATTGGAAAAGGTTTAGCAGAGGCTGTAGTTTGAAAAGTGTCCTTAAAAAAAAATTTAAAAAATTAGTCTAAATATTGCGGAAAAAAATTAAATACTCTATTTTTTGGACTATAAGTCGCTCTGAAGTATAAGTCGCACCAGCCAAAAAATGCATAATGAAAAAGAAAAAAAAAACATATATAAGTTGCACTTTTGGGGGGAAATTATTATCATTTTATAAAATGAGACCAGGAACTGACATTTCATCTTGAATGTGAAGTTCTAGTAATAACAGAAGAGAGAACATCAGACTGTTAACGTCACATATGAACAGTTCTTCAGATAAACTATAACATAAACAACAGAACAGAACAAGTTTAACAAACTCTCCATCTCACTCCAAATCACTAAATCCACTCAATTCTTCTTCTCGT